CCTTATATGGACTGATCGGACAAGGTAATGGCTTATTTCCCTCTAGCACCCAGCAGTAGCACAGTATCCATGAGCCACATATAGCACTTCAGCCACTTTGGCATCCTTCCTGGACTTACAGAGACTGAATCCACTGCCACTTGCTCAGGCAATGGTTATCCACAGTGGCTGCTTTGACTGTATCTCAGCGTAGAGCGACTCTTACACTCATCCTGCTTTTTTTCCTGCAACATCGCCTCTGAATTTTTTTTTTCTCTTTTGTTTGTTTGTTTCAAAACAGCCGGATTGTCCGAAAAGCTGGTGCAGCAACTTTTCCCTGCATATTTCCCCCCCACCAGAATATGTCGTTGACCAACACAAAGACGGGCTTTTCTGTAAAGGACATTTTGGACCTTCCTGACACAAATGACGAAGAGGGATCTATCACCGGAGCGGAGGAAGACACGGAGGGATCGGAGACCACGTCCACGACGAAAAACACTGGAGTTTTGGTGCAAAGTCCACTAGAAAACGTTCAAAATCTGCCTTTAAAGAACCCATTTTATGACAGTAGTGACAATCCTTACACACGATGGCTTGCTACTACGGACAGTATTCAATATTCATGTAAGTAGTGTCTAAGAATCCTTGTTGATCTTGCTGATAATGACTTATGTGATATTTTCAAGCTATGCGGTTACATTAAGGCGTAATTGATGGCATGCAGCCTCCTATTCCACCCTAACGATGCCCTTGGGTGGCATTTAGCATTCATCTTTATGCACCGTGCGCTGCTGCGCTCGTCTTAAGGCGTTTACAGCTCAACAAATGCATGCGGCGTTCAGGGCTCACGCACTTGGCATTGTAAGAATTTGATCGATAAAGCAACGTGGAAAAAGCAAAAAGGGGGCTGTAAGTTATTCAGAGTGCAACAACGGTGTGAAATTTAAGGCTGCATTCTGTGGGGATTTACAGGCAGACAATGCACCTTTTAATGCTTCACTGACTCGCCCTGCTTGTGGAGATTTGGGCTCAGGAATTGTTTTTTTTTTCCTTCTGCTTTCCACATCCTAATTGCACCAAAGAGTTTAAATCAGCTAAAAAGGGCCCTCGTGTTTTATTGTTCAGTCATGGTCAAGTTTTATAAAAATTGTGTAAATCTCAGTAACAGTTTTTTTTTGTTGTTGTTATTACGCAGCCGCGTCAATTAATTTCCAATGCATCCAAACTTTTTTATTAATGATGAAATGGCCTCTGCTTGTGATAAATGTCTCTGGGAACTTTACAACATAACATTTTGACAGTGTTTCTCCCGTTTCTTGCCGCAGTGCACGGTCTATCCGCCAGCTCTCAGGACTCGGCCAAGTCCCCGGAGCCGTCCGCAGACGACGAATCGCCGGACAACGACAAGGAAACTTCCAGCAGCGGCGGCAGCGACTCCGGCAAGAAGCGGAAAAGGAGGGTGTTGTTTTCCAAGGCGCAGACCTACGAGCTGGAGCGCCGCTTCAGGCAGCAGAGGTACCTGTCCGCCCCGGAGAGGGAGCACCTGGCCAGCCTGATCCGCCTCACCCCGACCCAGGTGAAGATCTGGTTCCAGAACCACCGGTATAAGATGAAGAGAGCCCGGGCCGAGAAAGGTATGGAAGTGACCCATCTCCCTTCTCCCAGGCGGGTGGCCGTGCCCGTCTTAGTCAGGGATGGAAAGCCTTGTCACACTCTTAAAGCTCAGGACTTGGCGGCCACTTTTCAGGCCGGGATCCCCTTCTCGGCTTACAGTGCCCAGTCACTCCAACACATGCAGTATAACGCGCAGTACAGCGCCGCGGCCACGCCACAGTTCCCCACAGCACATCATTTGGTGCAAACGCAACAGTGGACTTGGTGAGAGAAATTATAGAGACTTGTCTTGGAGGCACGATAGGGAGTTTCACCACAAAGCAAAGAAAAAAATAAAACACAAAAAACAAAAGACTTTTCATTTTTGCAGCTTGACTCATATATATACTACCATTTTTATTCGGGGCTCATGTGTGCGCCGTGTTTACATGTTTTCGTTAAGAGAACTGGGTCCAAACCTCTCCCTTATAGATTTTATTAAGAATGTCAATGCTCTTCTTGTGAATTTTTTTGTAAAGTATGTTGTGTGTTGGTTGTAGAGATGTTTTCCTCTCTTTTCTTTTGTCCCTTCGTGTTATTATCAGCACGTACGAACCACTTTATAATTATAGAAATTTTAATTTCTTGCTTCTTTTATGGACCGAAAAAATATTTATGGCCATGAATAAACACTGGCAACTTTTCAGCTATTTTCCTTTTGTTTTTATTTCCTGTAAATATTTTGTGGCAAATGTTTGCAAAAAAACCTAGAGAACTTTCGGGAGCGTTCAGCTGAAGATCGGCCTATATATATATTTCCAAATTGAAAAAAAAAATGAGGGAGTGATTTTTGGCTAAACATTATGACTGCCGTGTCAGATCACATATGTAAATAACAGTGTAGCCTCGCGGTGATGGCTCAATATCCTAAATTTTTTTATAAGGATTTTTAAATAAAGTGCTGTGTTTCTGAAAGAGGGTTTGGTTTATGTAAAGTGTCCTATTCGATCTGATCATCTCTGAAAAGACATCGCTAAACACCAGAATGAAAAGGCGAGGAGCACTAGATTGTGGCAGAGAATGGAGCCTGACTATGGGAATAAATCTCCAGCGCACTTCACTCTTTTCTGTTTAGGCAAATTTAATCCGGGGAATATTTTTTTCTGAATCGGAACACCTCACTTATAAAGAGTCTAAAGTCACTTGTGAAATGGGACTAAAATCCACTTACTTAATATAAGAGGGCTTCTCCACATAAGAAGCTTTTGAGTCAAAAGCTCTCCTTTTTGTCAGCATCCCCAACCACTCCCGGCCTTGGATGTAAAGTGGGAGATTGTGGAGGGAGGGGGGGGTGGGGGTGGGGGGTAAAAATCGTTTAATGCAATAAATGTTTTGTTATCTTGTTCAGCGCTAAACTGCAAATAGAACAGGAATAATCAGTGACTCACCAGCAGCCTTCTTTGTTTAACCACGGCCAACCATCAGCTAAAGTGCGCACGGCTCACATGGAGCTTTAACCGCCTAATAAAGTTATTTTTCATATGCTCCTATAGCGTGTTAGCAGTGATGCCCCGCATTAAAATGCACCCTGCCCTATTAGGCACCATGTTCTTTAAGGTGGAACCAAAACAAGCACAATTGGCTCCCCAGTGATCCGCAGAGAGCACTGCGGATTATCAGACTCCAGTCAATATCTTGGGTAAATATGATAACCTAGTAGAAAAATCTATGCATTTTTGTTTGTCCCGGGACAGAAATCTCACAACAGATGTCAGAGTCGCCCCTATCATCACTGAACAAACAGCTAAATTGGGCAGATTTGCTAATTATTTACAGAATTGAGTCTCAAGGGGGCTACTGCTTTTGTAGGCGACACAGACTCAATTTGTCCCTGACACAAGGGTTTTGTGTTTCACCACTGGTTGAGCTTGTAGGTCAAATAAATCAGCAACTTGCTCATCGCTTTCGTTTTTTTTTATTTTATTTTTTTATTTATTTGTAGACAAAGAGAGAGGAAATGAGAAATAAGTAGCGCTGCCTCCAGCCTGACAATGATCGCTTATAGCACTGTTATTATGGGAAAGTGATGTGGGGAGAAATATGATATGATCCGCAGTGCGTGTTATGGAAATTATAAAGTGAACTGATAAATGGCTGTGATAAAGGGCTGGCTCTGTGTGTGGCTGGATTTTTACTGAACTCTGGCTGATTTCTCTCAAATCAATCTTAAACTGAACTTGCCTTGGAACAATAATCATTTAAAAACTCATAAGTAAAAGAAAAATGTAGTCCTCTGTGCGTGTCCTCTCTGATGGGGCGGTTTTCTGACTCTATCATTGCATAATACAGTACACGGACACAACACAGACAAAAGCCCAGGCCTGGTTTTTGCAGGGTGTTAGAGGCGTGCATGTTAACGAGCAGCAGGAGTGAGGATGTAGACAGTGGAGATAGAGAGACTGACAGAGTTTCTTGGTGCTGTTCAGAGTCAGGGAGATGTATCCTTGGGCTTTTTGTCCTGCCTGTCACTTGGTGCCATTGTGATCTTTGCTGCACACGTTGTATCCCATATGGGCAGCTGGGCTCGGACAAGGAGAAAAGGATCTCTCACAAACCCCAATTTGTATCACGCTTTCAAATAAAGCATTGTTGTCTCTCAAAGAAAAACGAATTAAAAATTCGTGCTATATCTATTCTGGTCAAAAAAAGAAGCCCCATTCACAGATAACAGGGAGTCCTTCTTCCTTGATAGAGCTATGCCAACAACAGCCCTCTCATTTCTCTTTTCCCTCTATCCCACCATTCTCCAAAGTGAAAGGCTGATTATTGTCTGTCCCAAAAAGTGGCTCGTCACAGCGCAAAAACTATTTTTAATTCCAGACAGTGTTCTTCCTTGTTTGCTTTGAGTCCCGCTGGAAATGGCGTAGGCCTGTTTCTAAAAAAGACGCATGGAAAAATATTTGACACGATTCGCCCCCATTAGGAGTCCGTTTTTGAGGACTTCCGTGTCAGGCGTAAAACTGGACTACACAAACACACACATACACGTTCACTGCTCCTACTGAAAACTGGATTTCACAAACACTTTTCCGAGATTTGACGCCAACATGTAGTGTTGTTCAGTTCTGGCGCTTTTCATGCTGGTAGCAATTACAGAAATATGCAAATAGCACCACTGATTAATCTAAGACGTAAATGTTGAAGCTACTGTTTGCATCTTAATTTTTACTGGAGGAGATGTTGGAGGATGCAAATATATTTTGTTTTTCCATGGGAACCAGAACTGAGGATATTGGCAGATGTTTATTGGACTAATGCGCCAAGATTTACTGCCGCTGGGAAGACTGGGAATTATCGCATGAGCTTGGCCTGCATTTCCTAATATTACGTTTTATTATAGTATATTTTATTTTGAAATATTTTCTTATTATACATTTTTATATTTTTTCAGGGCCCCCTCTCTTCAAAAAAAAAAAAAAAAAAATCTGGATCTAAATCATACTGAGGCTGCTCACCTGCAGCCTGATTGTAGATTTAAACACATTTCTCTGTGCATCAGTCTTGCTGTTTCCCCCAAACTGAAGCCAAGAAATAAAAGCGTTAGCTATGATGGAAGCCTCTGTGGTAAACTTTTACGGCTGCACCCCTGTATTGTCATTAACGTAGCAGAAAATTACACCGCCTCTCCACCAGCTCAGCAACAGGGTCAGATTTATCGGAAATTGCTTATGGCTGCTTGAAGGGATAAAGCAGTGCGACATTAAAAACAAGCATCTTGGCGCGCAGCGTAGTTCAACCTGCGTGGATAACAATATTATATACCTTGGAATACAATACTTGAGGAAATGTGCACTTGGGACACCATGGATCTTCGTCATCCTGCCCATTTGAACCTCGACATGAATCATTTTTCTATCATGCACATCGCCAAATAAACGAGGATTTCAAAGCTATAATAGGCGGTGCTTTTCATTTAAAGGAAGCTATCTGGGTTTTATTGCCTTAAAGGAGATCCAGATTAGATTCGCCACAGTGCCGATATTAGAGAGAGAGAGAGAGAGAGAGAGGGAGAGAGAGAGAGAGGGAGTGATGGAGGGAGGGAGAGGCAGAGGAGAGATAGTTGCGCTCAGCTGCCACAAGATGGAAGCAGAGGTCTTCAGTTGGCGTCACGCAGCTTCTACCTGCAAATGTCTAACAGTCCCAACATCATCCAATTCTTCCACCACAAATTACTGCAAAGCGAATCATCTTCCGGCTCCTGAAGTCAACCTGTTTTTTTTTTGTTTGTTTTTTTTCTTCCTCTTTAATGAACAGACATCCCGGCAAACTTGACTGTCTTTTTAAGTGCATGATTGCGGTTTATGACATTGTTACGGATCTTGAGAGCATAATCATGTCGCTCTTGAAAACAAACTAGACTCGACGTAAACAGTCCACAGCCAATTAGCACTGGTTCCATTTCAAAGTTAGAGAGAGAGAGAGAGAGAGAGAGAGAGAGAAAGCGAGAGAGAGAGACTGGGTATTTCCACGGTGTGGCGCAATAGGATAGAGGGATAAATATGGTGCAAATTAATTCACTTCAGTGAAAGTGAACAATAGAGCTGAAGTGAGGTTTTGGAAGGAAAGTCTTAACTCAGTCAGTGTCCTTCGCAACAAAGAAAACTGAGATAAATGTCCTCAGTAATATGAAAAACTGATATTTCGCCACTGAACCTGATCAAAGAGGAGAAACTGTTTCTTTTCTAAAAGTGTAAAATATGACAAACAAATATCCACCTATTAACAAAGTCGAGCAGCAGCTCTGTAGAACTAAATCTCCCTGGACTCCAGTGACATTGTGTCATTTAAATGTGTGTCACGTCCAGCAGTTATGTAGACTTACTTCCCAGGGTGTAAAGTGCCATCATCGATCATGCAGAGAAGAAGTATGCAGAGCACTTGCAAAATGGGTCAAATGACGTCAAAATGAAAGGCTAGGCTGCCATCCTCGTGCACCTGCTCAGTGCAGCATCAGTGAGCTTGCACCTGTAGGGGGCCTCATTGGGTTGGAAAGATGCACCAGCAGGGGGGAGGAGGGATGCTGAACACCGTGCAAGAGGGGCGAGGAGAGAGGAGGAGTGTGTTAAAAGAAGTGTTGATCTGCAAGAGTTCTGGCCACTCTCATCAGGCTGGTGTAGGGAAGAAAAATACAGAGAAAGAACAAACAGTTTGAAACAACATTACTGTGGATGCAGCAGCGCAGATACATCCAGATGGCTATGTTTTAAATTAGGTGTTTAATTTTTTGTG